AAAGAAGGTAAAGTAGAAATAGAATAAAATAAATTGTTCAATTCTGGAAGAGGGAATTTACAGAAGATAAAAAAGGCATTAGACAACTTCGTATGTTTTGTTCTTTGTGGATCAAAAATATTTAGTCAGTTCCAAAATAAAAGTCAAAAAGAACTCAGAGACTTTCTCAAATCATAGTACTGCATCTTGGTTTAAGAAAGTAGAGCCTTAGGACCAGCAGATGGCATAATGGTTACATCACTGGTCTCCCACATAGCCAACTGCAGTTCAAGTCCTGGACCCAGTGACTTAAAACTCATGCTGTGTGTGTGTGTGTGTGTGTGTGTGTGTGTCCAAGATCTCAAAAGGAGAATGGAGGAGAAAGGATTACAGCATGACCATTCTCCCCAGGGTGTGATGAGTGATTTCTCATTTTCTATCTCTCTGTCTCTCTCTGTCTCTCCAGAGAGTACATGTGCTATATAACAAAAATCTCTCTAAAAGAAAAAAGAAATAGAAAATTGAATCTTAAAACATGTATCTTAGGAATTAATGCTGCTTTGATAGACTAGTTTGTCTGCCAAGCTTAATGAAACACCATTATTTATATGAATATTTCTGAAGTATTATACTTTGTTTTAAAATTGATTTATTTGTATAAATAAATGTCCTGTGATAACAGTGAGTTAAATCAGTTAGATTTGCTGATCTAAAGATCTAGTGAGATAGTATTTTTATTTCTTTTCTTTCAGCTTTAAGAATTTACTAGCTAGGGGACCAGCAGTTAGCGTAATGGCTATGTCGCTGGACTCCCACATAGTCGACCGCAGTTCGCATCCCAGACCCGGTGGCTTAAAACTCATGCTGTGTGCGTGTGCGTGCATGCCCAAGATCCCGAGAGGAGAATGGAGAAGGGATTGTGGCGTGGCCTTCCCCTCGGGAGGTGATTTCTCACTTTCTATCTCTCTGTCTCTCTGCCTGTCTGGCGAGCGCACGTGCCCTATAGCAAAAACCTCTCCAAAAAAAAAAGAATTTGCTAGCTAGAAACAATTATTATCTTTCTATACAACTCTCTAGGTTGAACAGACAATAATTACATGAAAGTTAATAAATCTCCGGGACCAGCAGTTGGCGTAATGGCTATGTCGCTGGACTCCCACATAGTCGACTGCAGTTTGAGTCCCAGACCCGGTGGCTTAGAACTCACGCCTAGCACATGTGCATGCGTGCCCAAGATCCTGAGAGGAGAATGGAGGAGAAGGGATTGCAGCGTGGCCATTCCCCCCATGGGGTGATTTCTCACTTTCTGTCTCTCTGTCTCTCGCTGTCTTTCTGGTGAGCGCACACGCCCTATAGCAAAAAAAAAGAAAGTTAATAAATCTCCATTTGATTACCTAGCTAAGCAAACAGTTCTGTGCAAATGATCTAATCACCTGTTCAAAAATGACATATGAATTCAAAATATATTGGTAGGAGTTATAGTTGAAAATAGATTTGTCTAGCAGGACAGGAACTCACTGGTAAAGTGCTCTGACTTCCCTGAACAAGGCCGTGAGCTCTAATCCCATGATGCCCTTTGTTCCTGGTTCTATCAACATCCATCCCTAGCTGCTCAGACTTTCACCCCATATTGCTCTGTACATCCCCTAATCTGAATTTATCCCACTCT